CCCCAAAACCCCAAAACCCCAAAACCCCAAAACCCCAAAACCCCATGGAGAAATGGGGGGTTTGAGAATATAATTATTTGGGAAAATATGGAATCGACACCTGCGTGGCAAGAAAGTCTTGAAGATATTATTCCTGTTGATCAGGATATGCATGCTGAGGAAGAAACTAAGAAGAAGGGGAAAGTTGTCAAACCCGCTGGTGGAAAAAGATATAACAAGTTTAATCTAAAAGAAACTAATGAAGAAGGATTCACCGGGCCACCTTCATCTTGGTTTAATGATGAAGCATTTAAGAAGGGTTTAGTTGCTGACTTTGCAAAGAAAGAAGGAGCTGACTACTATTTTGAATCTTACTCTAACTTCTATATTCATGAAGAAATGTTAAAGGATAAAGTCAGAACAGAAAGCTATAGGAGTGCTATTGAGAATAATCCTGAAGCTTTCAAGGACAAGGTGGTGCTTGATATCGGTTGTGGTACTGGAGTTTTGAGCATCTTCGCAGCCAGAGCAGGCGCTAAACATGTCTATGGAATTGATAATGCAGATATAGTTCATTATGCTAGAGAGATTGTCAAGCAAAATGGATTTGAGAAGCAAATCACAATCATCCAAGGCAAAGTTGAAGAGATTGATCTTCCTGTTGAGAAAGTGGATATTATCATTTCTGAGTGGATGGGATACTTTTTACTCTACGAATCAATGCTTGATACTGTCCTTTTTGCAAGAGATAAATGGCTTCAATCTGGAGGAATTATTCTCCCTGATAAATGCACAATGCATGTTGCAGCAATAGAAGATAAAGACTATAAGACTAAGAAGCTAAACTTTTGGAACAATGTTTATGGAATAGATATGTCGTGCTTGACACCAGCATCATTTGTTGAACCAGTGATAGACTCAATGAGCTATGATCCTATAAACACGACTGAAGATACTTTCTTTGAAATTGACCTTTACACAGTGAAAACTGAGGATTTGGAGTTTTCAAATACTTACAATATACAGATGATGAGAGATGACACTATCCATGGCATTGTAACCTGGTTTGACATCTTCTTTGGAAACATGAAACACGATGTAAAATTCAGTACAGGTCCATATGAACAAGTCACTCATTGGAAACAAACAGTATTTTACTTTAACGGAGAATATAAGCTAAAAGAGGGAGACATCATCAGTGGATCAATCGCTTGCAAAAAGTCTTCTGAAAATTTCAGAGCATGTGACATAAAGATCTCTTACCACATCCGCCCTCAGTCAAATAAATTCGAAGACATTGACTGCCAAGTTCTACAGTATAAGTTAAGATAAAGTAGAAAACCTTCAACACTGTTTAGATTTAAAGGGGTTTTGGGGTTTTGGGGTTTTGGGGTTTTGGGGTTTTGGGGTTTTGGGG